CGAAACAACATAGGGCATTCCAGTGTACAACAACTCCTCCAATTCGATGAACAACATTTCACGTTCCTCTGACAAATAGAATTTCTTGATGCGTATACGCATGCGTGCCATCATATTCAGAATGCTAATGCCTTCGATTTTCAAAGCACGGGCATGCAGGACAATCAAATTGGTTACAACATCGATTTCGATTTGAATCGAAACGGTGCCAGTGCAAGTTTTTGCCACCAAATCGGGATGAATGTAGAGTTTGTATTTGATGGGACGGATTTCGCGGGGTAGACGATAGATAACCTGGAATTTTAAGAAAAATAGTGAGGGATTAGATTGTTATATGACTGAGAACGATAACGATGTGGATGGGTCACATACAACCTAAAAATACCTCTTGCCAAAAGTAGGCGGACATCGATCCTATCTAGAACTAAAAAAAAATGTCTACGTATTGGCCTTTTACGTAACTTAAATAGGGGGGGGGGGGGGGAAATTCTCCCCTGTTTCACAATTGCGGATTAACAGGGGAAAAATTCCCCCATGTTTTACAATTGCGGATTAAGATTCTGGAATTTTTTTCGGTATATAGTGTCTTGGCCAAAATTGGTGGCAAAAATACGAAGATTATTTAGTAACATTTACTACGCATATACAAAAAAAAATCCACACCTTTCCATACCAGACACTCGCTGTGATCGAAAATTAGTACCTTTAAGTACTTTTCGTATAATTTTAATACTCATTTGCAAAACTCAATTCTAGACACCAATATTTATCGCAATATTAAATTTCGCGGTTTCAGAACACACGCAATACCAAATTTAGTAATATTTAGTACTTATCGAACAACTATAGTACGCAATTCCATACCCACTTCCAGATCACAACTTAAATACCAACAGTTTTCTAAATATTGAATTTCAGAATTTTATCCCTATCCCTACAACCAAGTCCAAATTTAGTACCATTTACTACTTTTTGAAAAATTTCACTCAAAACTATATACCAACGATGACCCCAACGGATCCTAATACCAAATTCCAAATGTATTTCCTTCTCTCCACCCTAGATACAAACACATTTTTTTGGCACACATTTTTTTGGCACTTTTTGTACGTACTCACTCCCAAACAACTTCACACGACTAAAGACACCAACATAGACATGTATATCAAATTTCAGGATTTCAGCTCTTTAATTTCTCCCATTACCAAATTTAATATTATTTAGTACTTCTCGTACAAATATTGTACACATTTCCAATACCACCTCCTTACCTCAATTCCAAATACCAACAAAGTCCTCATTGTCAAATTTGAAGATTTGAGCTGTATCCTTCACCCAATACCCGAATTAGTGTCATTTAGTACTCTTCAACATTTCCATAGGACGCATTTCGAAACCACCGCCAAATCTCAAACACAGATACCTTTAGTAATCTAAATATCAAATTTCCGAATTTTATCTCTATCCCTTCATCCAGTACCAAATATAGTAGCATTCAGTACTTTTCGAAAAATAGTTGTAAACTATTCCGAAACCACCTCTATGTGTCCAGGGTCTACTTGAACAACGACCGTAGTACCAAGTTTCAGATTTCAAGCACTATCTGTTCACCCAATATAAAATTTTACCAAATATAGTACGATTTAGTACTTTACGTATACTTGTAGTACACCTTTCCAAAACCACCTCCTCAAACCTAAATAGCATCATTAATCTAAATATCAAATTTTAGAATTGTATATCTGTCCCTTCACCCAATACCAAATTTAGTACTTTTCGTACAATTAAAGTACGCATTTCCAAACCCAACGCCAAATCTCAGACACAGGTGCCATCAGTAATCTAAATATTAAATTTATATTATTTCACTCAATACCAAATAGAGTACCATTCAGTACTTTTCATACAATAACAGCCTTTTCACACATTTCCGAAACCACACATGAACAGCGATCTAATTTCAGATTTAAAGCACTATATGTTCACCCAATACCAAATATAGTATTTTTCGTACCCTTATACACATTTCTAAAACCACATCTTTATCACAAACCTACTAGCAACAGGGTTTCTTCCGTTGAACCAAAACCAAATTGTACCAAATTAAGTACCATTTAGTATACTTCTTACTCTTAGTACACATTACCAAAAGCATCTCCTTCCTTTTCCTTGGGAACATCCCAGTTCCAAGTGTGAGTTCTCATACCAAATTTCAAGAATTAATAACTATCCATTCACATAATTGCAAATAGTACCATATTTCGTTCATTTTAGAACTTCGGGCAAAAGTATTGTTAGAATTTCGAAAAACGCTTTAGTTTTTTATCCTACCCAACATCAAAGACTCTTACTTAAATTTCAGTATTCCAGCTCTATTTCTTCTCCAAATACCAAAGTTAATTCTATTTTTAGCTGTTTGTACTTTCTAGTAGGTATGTTCAAATCCTCCGCCATGTAACAACCAAACTACACAAAAAGTGATCTTAATGGCAAATTTTAGATTTGCAACTCAACCCCTCACCCAAATACCAAATTAAGTACCATTTTGTACTTTTTAGTACGTATTTTCAAAACCACCCCTAAATCCACACACTAACTATTTGGGTCAGCAATATCAACACAGATGCCAGAAGGTGTTCGAACATAAATAGCATCTTCACAACAGATCTGGTGTTAGCAAAAATTATTGTATGTGTGAAATTTGAAGAGAGTTGGATCCTTATTTCGCTTTCTTTGAGTGTTATGTTTTTCAAAATTAGATCATTTCTTCCCTTTCTGTGCAGAAAATATATATTTTTAAAATTTCGACCATTTGTGGGGGAGTTACCAGAAGAAGTGGACCGATATACTCCATCTTAACACCAGACCATGACTAATAAAATGATTGGGATGGGTGAAATTTGAAGACAATCGAATTCTTAAATCACATTTTATGAGAGTTGTAATTATTCAAAATTTTGACCATTTGTGGGGGAGGTACCAGAAGGAGTGGACCGATATTGTCCATTTTTACACCTAACGTAAAACTGATGCAAATATTAGGATTTGCAAAGTTGGAGCAAAATCGGATTATCCCTTCTCTTTCTGTGCAAAAAATATATTTTTTTGCAAATTTCGACCTTTTGTGGGGGAGGTACCAGAAGGAGTGGACCGATATTACTCATCTTAACATCAGACCTTGGGTTAATATAAATATTGGGATGTGTAAAATTTAAAGACAATCGGACTCTTAAACCACATTTTATGAGAGTTGTAATTATTCAAAAATTTGACCATTTGTGGGGGAGGTACTTGATGGAGTGGACCGATATTGTCCATTTTCACACCTAACCTAGCACTGATGCAAATATTAGGATTTGCAAAATTTGGAGCAAAATCGGATTTTCCCTTCTCTTTCTGAGCAAAAAATAAATTTTTTGCAAATTTCGACCTTTTGTGGGGGAGGTACCAGAAGGAGTAGACCGATATTGCCCATCTTCGAACTCGATCTAAATTTGACAAAAATATTACGATGTACCAAGTTTGGACCAAATCGGATACTCCCTTCGAGAGTTATCGTGCGCACCAGCCAGACAGACGAACGGACGGACGGACATCGCTAGATCGACTCCAAATGTTCTGAAACGGATTTGGTCCAAAGAGACCTAGGGTCTAAAACAGTTATTTCGACTAGGCACGTTTTGACCGTATCAAATGATATATACCCTCTGTAGCCATATGGCTGAGTGTATAAAAAAACTCCTTAAATCAATTTTTTCCCCAAATGAATTCTTATTCCAAATATTAAGATTTGCATAATACCCTTAGCTAAATGGCTAGGGAGGTTATATATCATTTGATAAGGCCAAAAGTGTCTCATCGAAATGACGGTTTTAGACACTAGCCACATCCGTTTCAGGACATTTGGACTCAATCTAGCGATGTCCGCCCGTCCTTCTGTCTTGCTGGCTGGTGTGCGCGATAAGTGTCGAAAGAAGTATCAAATTTGGTCCAAACTTGGTACATCGTAATATTATTGTCAAACTTAGATCGAGTTCGGTACTCTCCTCCTTCTGGTACCTCCCTCACAAAATGCCAACATTTTCAAAGAAAATAATTTACTGCACAGAAAGAGAAAGGATTATCGGATTTTGCTCCAACTTTGCAAATCCCAATATTTGCGTCAGTGCTAGGTCAAGTGAAATATGAACAATATCGGCCCACTCTATCAAGTACCTCCCACCCACAAAGGGTCAAAATTTTGAAAAATATAACTCTTATATAATGTGGTGTAAGAGTCCCATTGTGTCCAAATTATAGAAATCACAAAATTTTTGGAATATATCGGTCTACTCCATCAAGTACCTTCCCCACAAAAGGTCAAAATTCAAATTTTGGAATATCCATGGAGCTCACAAAACGCGAAATTAACTTTCGATTCCATTCAGACTTGGCACATCTCAATATTTCCATTAAAACAAGATCTGTAATAACGATGGAAGAGATCGGACCATACCTCCCCCTCAAAGGGTCAGCGATCAACGGCCAAAACGATCTTAAAAACCGAAATAAGCATCCGATTCTCATCAAATTTCTCACTTCTCAATATTTTTATTATGGTGTGAAGATTGGCTGTATCGGTCCACTCCTTCTGGTACCTTTCCCACAAAATGTCAACATTTTTAAATGAAGTAATTTACCGCACATAAAGAGAAAGAAAACTCCGATCTTCCTCCAACTTTACAAATCCTAATATTTTCATCAATGCTAAGTCAGGTGCAAAAATCGAAAATATCGGTGTACTCCATCAAGTACCTTCCCCTTACACAGATCACAATATTTTTATTAACCCAAGGTCTGCTGTGAAGGTGGATGTATCGGTCTACTCCTTCTGGTACCTGCTCCATAAACGATCAAAATTTTTAATATCCATGAAGATCAAAGAACGCTGTGGCAAATGAATTCACGTTCTTTAAGTTCGGTTTTTTTACCAATTCTCATCAAAAATATTTCTAACTAATAAAATCATAAAATTTATTTTGAATGATGTAACGTAGATAGCTATAATTTCCATAGGTTATACGAATACAAATTTAAGGTAAAACTGGTGGAGGCGGTGCTGTTTCAGGGGCAGCTGTTGTGGTGGTCTGTATCGGCGGCTGTGGCACCGAAAATGTCGTGGTCGATGTTGCCTCTGTCGATGTGGATGTTGTTGCCATATTCTGTATATATAATTCCAAAATTTCCAATTTTTGGCGAGCTTCCTTCAGGTCATGGGACATACTAGAAGTTTCAACGGACAAAACTACTACAACCACAATTAGGATTGTGGAAAGTAAGCCCAGGAATATGGCCAAATGGCGAGCTGTACATTTTTCTGGAGGGAATGAAATTTGTTTTTATTTTAACGACTGAAGTGTCAGGGAAAATTCACCAAATTTTCTTACCCTTAATTAAAGTCAAAGCGCTGTTCATTTTTGCTATTTGTTTTGCCTTGGCTTTGTTTTTCGCGGAACTTTAAAAATACAACTAAACACAATTTCGGAATTTTTGGCCAGCAGTTGGTAACTTTTTCGATTAAGACATTTATTGGCCAATTTTTTTTTATTGCCCAAGCGGGGGCTCATAAAACTTAACGAATATTTCTCTTTTGATCGATAACTGATATCTCAAGATAACATTTTGTGGTTGACCAGCAACAATATCGTTGGACGATATTTATTTTGGATTTGGCCAAAACGATAAGGCCATGGCAGTAATTAACCCCAGAAAGCCGCCTCTAACGTCCGATCGTAGTGCATACATACATATTTGAGATATTTATCGCCGATATATAACATAAATGGAATGTCATTCTTGTGACCATTATAAATATGAAAATAATAATTGTTTTTTTTTTTCTTAATATTTTTGTTATCAAAATAATCGAAATTTTCGTTGAGTGCCACATCAAGATTTCCTCCCATAATTTTCGAATCTGTTATTGGGCCAATTTGTGGTCAATCTGGGTGGAATGTTTTCTTACTTTGGTTTTATTCTTTGATAGCATTTATATTGCACTTTTTGGCATTTATCGTATTTGGGTTTTGGAAATTATGGCCAGATATCGAATACGATATGGGGAATTTGTGTCATTTTTTGAATTTAGATATTTGTGGTTGAAAATCATAGGCTGTTATTTTCTGATGATGAAATTGTACTTTTTACTTTGAATTATAACTATTTATGATTTTTTATACTCGAAGGAGGAAGATAGCCGCGGATAGGAACAAACACTTTCTGCGGACTGCATGGAAATGGCTTAAAAAAGGAACAGCGTTTGTGTTCCACAGTTTAGGTTAATAATTGAAAACCTTATGTCCAGATCTCCGAGAAACTCAAACGAATTCGAGTAAAGAATGAAACTCGCTTCAAGTCGACTGGGAGCACTCCTGGGAGCAGAAAAAAACAAAACGAGAAAAACTAGCAAAAATTTGTTTTTCGGTTTCGCTCGAATGAGGGCGGGTAGGCTTGGTTCATGCCAGAGTGGGGGTAAAAATTCGTTGGAAAACGAGCAGATTTTACTTATGACGAGCACTCTTTTATTTTTATACCCTCCACCATACATAGTATGAAGAGTATATTAAGTTCGTCATTCCGTTTGTAATTCATCGAAATATTAATTATACCCTACACCACATAGTGGTAAGGGTATTATGTATTTGTGCATTTGTTTGTAACATGGAGAAGGAGGCGAGATAGATCCATAGTTACTTTTGAGGATCTTCATAGAATCACTTTCTGAGTGGATCCGTCCATGTATTTTTGTGAACAAAATGCAGGTCGCATTTATTATCCGATAGAGATGAAATTTTGCAAACAATATTTGTGTGGTCCAAGGACGAACCCTATTGAAATTGGTGAAAATCGAATCAGATTTAGATATAACTCCCACATACATTTCTAACCTATTTCGGGTTAATTGTGCACCAAATGTCCAATACAAATCCAAATGACCTGAATTTTGGTACACCCCACCGAATTCAGTCTAGAAGCAAGTACATCAAATTTGGAGAAAATCGCTTCAGATACTCCCATGTATACGTTTATCCCCAAGAAGAGAATTGTCTATATAGGTCCCTGATATCGTATTGTACCCCCACGATATTCGGTATTTTTATCATTTTAGCGACATTATTCAACCAAATCGTTTCCAATTTCGTATTTGAAGTTCCTTCTTTCCCGATCTTCTTATAGGCCCCATATATCGGTACCTCCCTCTATTCGGTATTTTCATGATTTTAGCTACAATATTAAGCGGATTTTTTTCAAGTTTCGTATTTGAATATTGTAATGGCCTATGATAAAAGCTATATTTAAGTTTTATTAGAATTTTTAATGGATTTTATTTTTTGGCAAAAATTTTAAATTCCTTACAAATAGTGGAGGGTATTAAAAGTTCCGGGCGAACTTATTGCTTTTTTACTTGTTTTTTTATACTCTTGTTGTATTTCTGTCACCCCTCCCCCTCCTCGTATCACCCCTCCCCTTCTTCCCATATTCTCTACCTCTTCACAACTCCCCTTACCCCTTTCTTCACAACTTTCCCTTCCCCCTCTTCTCTCTCTAAAAAATATACTCCGTAAAATGTTCCCAATCTACGAGCAAACCTGCTCCTGAGCAAGTTTGGCTCCCGAATGAAAATAAAGAAATTATAATTGAAATTCTGGTGCGGATTTTTTTTTCTTCAAACATTCATCAATTTTTTTTTAAATCACCATTTCCAGTGATGCAAAAATTAAAATCCTTAATGGGTTACATAGTTAAGAAAACTTGAGTGGTTGTTCTTGTTCTATGGACTGTGTTCTATTCGACGATCAAACAGACTAAACACCGGAAATTTGGTAGGAGAATCAAGTTTGGAAAGAAAATTTGATATATAAAGGTGGTTTTGCGAAGTGTGCGAACTATACTAAATGACACTAAATTTTGAACAGTTTGGTTCAGGACGAACAGTTGAAGCTGGAATTTTGAAACTTGGTATTCGGGCCCATGTTGGCTTTTGGTTTGTGTACAGAAAGTACTAAATAGTACTATATTAGGTACAATTTGCTATTGGGTGTACATATAGTGTTTGAAATCTGAAATGAGTCATTTGGATTGCTGTTCAGGTGTAGCCTGGACATATGGAAGTGATTGCGAAAATGCGTACTTTAATTGTACGAAAAGTTCCCAATGGTACTACATTTGGTATTAGGTGAAGGAATAGAGATAAAATTCAGAAATCTGATACTGATTACTGATGGTATTTGTGTTTGAGATTTGGCGGTGATTTGGAAATTCGTCCTTAATTTATACGAAAAGTACTAAATGGTACCAAATTTGGTATCTAATAAAGGAATAGAGCTGAAATTCTGAAATTTTATTTCGAGGTCTCTGTTGGTATCTGGAGATGGTCTTGGAGATGTGTACTATAATTGTACGAAATGTATGGATAAATAGATTTAATATTGAGATCTCTGTTGGTTTCTGGAATTGAGATTTGGCTGTGGGTGGGAAATACGTACTATATTTGTGTGAAAAGTGGTATTAAATTTGGTATTGGGAATAGAGCAAAAACCCTGAAATTTGATTTGTTTTGGAAATGTGTACTATATTTGTTCAAAAACTACTAAGTGTTACTAAATTGGGTATTAGATGAAGGGATGGATATGGAATCCAGAAATATTACATTGAGGTCTCTGTTGGTATCTGGTGTTAAGTTCTGGTAGAGGTTTTGGATATGCGTAATATGATTGTTCGAAAAGTACTGAATAGCTCTAAGGGTAGAAATAGAGCTGAAATTCTGGAATCTGGTATCGAGTCTAGGGTGGACAGGAAGAGGGATCCAACTGTACGAAAAGTATGATAATACGTTTGGGATTGGGTCTTAGTTTAAAGCTGTAATTTTCAAATTAGAATTTGAGATCTCGGTTGGTATCTGGTGGTGTTTGTGCAAATGCATATTGTAATTCTTCGAAAAGTAATGGAGGAAATTACAGATCTGAAACCTGTAAGTTGATATTGAGGTCACTGTTGGTTTTTAGGGTTTTTTATATGAAGACGTTGAAATAATTTTGGAAAGAAAAAATGGATCGGATTTTATAATCGTTTTGGTTATTCAAAACTTTGATCCTTTGTGGGGGAGGTACCAGAAGGAATGGTTCGATCTCTACCAACTTCATAACAGATCTTGTGTTGATGGAAATATTGAGATGTACTAAGTCTGAATGGAATCGGATATTAATTTCGTGTTTAATGAGCTTCGTGAAAATTCAAAATTTTGACCCTTTGTGGGGGATGTACCGAAAGGAGTGTACCGATATATTCCATCTTCACACCAGACCTTGGGTTAATAAAAATATTGTAATGTGTCTAATTTGAAGAGAACCGGATGCTTATTTCCGATTTTATAATCGTTTTGGTTCTTCAAAACATCGACCCTCTGTTGGGGAGGTACCAGAAGGAATCATCCGATCTCTAACATCTTTATAACAGACCTTGTGTTGATGGAAATATTGCGATGTGCCAAGTTTGAATAGATTTGGATGTTAATTTCGTGTTTTATGAGCTTCCCGAATATTCAAAATTATGAGCCTTTGTGGAGGAGGTACCAGAAGGAGTACGCGAAGTAGCGGGTCCTTGCTGGTATTACAAATTTGTATTATGCAATATTTTGCATAATGGCCCATATATTCCCCATAACTCTTATGAAGAGTCCAATACATTAATGTAATCATTATAACTAGCTTCTTTGGAAAACGTTCCGGTTTTTTCCCAAAGTCATACTTCCGATTTCAGTTCATATGTTGATGGCTATTACTTATTTTGTAATGAGAAATACTTACCTCTTCTGGATTTGGTAGTCCTGTTGGCAAGGTTGGGAAAGTTGGATCTACTCCTGGGGCTGTTGGCCATGATGGCAAAGTTGGAGTTCCCTGAGAGCTGCTGTCTGTAGAACTGCTCTCTGTAGAACTGCTGCCAGTGGAAGAACCGCTACCACCACCAGTGGTACTATCCGTCGTTACACTCGATGGCGGAGCTGGTGTGGTTTCCGATGATGAGGGTACTGAAGGAGTTGTTTGAGTGGTAGGTGGCGATGCTGTGGAAATCATATCCAGCTTATCCAAAGCATCCTGTAGGTCATTCTCCAAATCGGCCTTTTCCACGGCCAGGACAATGGTGGAGATACAAAAGGCTGTTGTGGCCAGGCCAAAGAAAATGGCAATATTTTTGGCTGTCAACACTGCAGGAAACGAAAATTTAAATGGAATTAATTTTTTGAGCCCCTTTGCAGCATTTAAAAAACTTACGCAACATATTTTTTTTGGGGAATTAGATAATATTAGCTATGAAGAAAACAGGGAAATTAATTCTCATTCCCTGTCGATATCATTTAACTCTGCACTGATATTCTCGATTCGACTGAAAATCGTAGACTGGCAATTAACGGCAATCTGACTTTGCACCTAGACTTGATTTCGGATTCCAAGTCCACATAGCCGTCGTCGTCGTCACCGCCCTCGTCGTCGTTTTTTTTACCACATCACAAGTCTCCACAATTGGTTATCAATCCATTCCATCCAGATAGGATATTATCACAGATTTTATCGTTTCGGACTCGCTAGATGTGATTACTTTATTGTCTGCTATTTATGGGACGTGAGACGACAACAATAGCCCCAACACTATGGCGATTGTTTACGCTGTTCGAGGCTTGTAAAACATCCGAAGCAATTTGCCATTGATTGCCATCATAAAGCCACCAAATTGCAACAGAACTTTGGGACATTTTTTTCACCTAAGTAGATATGGTAGGGCGTATAGATAAACTTGTTCAATTTTGTCAATAGTTCTAACTAACATTTATTTATGAATAAATCATAAAACAAAAACAAATATTTTGCTCTAAAAGAGTCTCTTTGGGAATCGCACCGAAACTAAAACAAAAAATTGTTTTTCCCTAGACACATAAGCAACTTATCCGACAAAAATTAAATAAATTCCGAATATAATTCCTCAAAAATTACGAAATTTCACATTTATTTGTCCTTACAATAAGGTTCGTTCGCCGAACCCTTGTGGAGAAAAAAATGCCGGCGAATAATTACCCACTTCATAAATGTTATAATTTTTCAAAATGTTGGATATACCAGAAAGATAGAGGCTTGTTCCCTGCGAATGATACTAAAAGACTTCGCTTCGAAGGCAGAATCAGCAGTGGGGACAGTCACTGAAAATTCATAAGGTCGGCAGGAATTTGAATTGCAACAATAAATTCTCAAGAAAACCAATTGTGGCGAACCAGAGAACCGTTCACATCTGGGTCCAGACACCCATACTCCCGTGTAAATTATATCCAGCAGATGGCACTGAATGACTTCACTTAGTTGATGAGACCGAGCTATAATATAAGGAAAGTCAGATGGGACAGTCGGTGAAAACTCATAAGGTCAGCAGGGAACTGAACTAAATTACAACATCGGATTTTCGAGAAAACTCATTTTGGGAATTTGAAAATGCCAGGTGGGCAGAGACGTAATGCCGAAGATAAAGCATACGGGGCAGCATTCACATCCTAAGTGAGTTATACGAAGCCACCAAAACAAGGAGCAAGCTGAGAAAAAAAAGCTCAACGGGACGTTGATTGAGTCCACTGAGTTGCCATAAGCCGCTGGAAATGGGAGCTTGTAGTCCACAAACCGCATTGCATGGTGAAGGAGTCGGAGAGACGCCGGAGAACCACTTAGGTCTGGTGTAACGTGGTTTTCTCGTCGACTGAGGTAAGCTCAGCTGTACCCAGGGTCTCCATAAGGAACCACTCAACCTTATGAAATAATAAGAGTAGATTTCTCCCTTTCCTGGGGTTAAAAATCGGGTGTTTTATTGATCTTTAAAGCTAAACTACAATCTACTCGAGTTGAATACGATAAGATAAATATCGAATGTAGGATGGCAAATGGACTTCGGAAATGTTCGTAAATTCAAAGTAATGATGTTTAATTGATGATCGGGAAATCGATGTTTACTCGTATCGTAGGCAAGAGGGTGTACGACTCGAGGCAAAATCGGGAATGATGATGTCTAGCTACGGTTTACAACTACGTCTACTCCACTACCAATGTTTGACTATAGTACGGAACAGCGAACCAAGGCTCCTGCGAAACAGCGATTCCGAACTCCTGCGGAACAGCGAGCCGAAACTCCTGCGGAACAGCGTACCGATGCTCCTGCGGAACAGGGAGCCGAAGCCCCTGTGTGTATGTGACCGGCCCTACCAAGTCATTGCGAATTCTTTGCCTTATGCTGTGAACGGCATACTTCTTCTTGTATTCATGCAGTAGCCGTTGTTGTTATTATTATTGTTCAATAGGTGTGGTTGTTTGTTCGTACTAATGTACGTAAAGAAATCATCACGTTACTCTGGGTATAAACCGGAGTAAACTCAGATTAAGAACAATGATATGCATCTGCCTTGCCCTGAACCTTAACAAATTCATCGATCGGTCTATATTTTTATACTTTCGGCCAAAACGTACCTCATCGAAATAACGATTATAGACCCTTGGTCTTTTTGCACCAAATACTTTTTAGGACATTTAGATTTGTTCGAATTGGTCATCTTTGGCACGAATTATGGCCTTCAAACGACCAATGAAACCGTCACACGCTGCCCGAATGTTGCTCTGCGGTATTTTGGCCAATTTCCGGTGAAGCGCTTGAGGTGATCAACACTTTTGTAATTTTTAGTGCCAACCTTGCTTTCCAAAATACTCCAGACACAATAGTCCACCGGATTGGTATCCGGAGATTATGGTGGCCATTGTGTGGTGGCTGGAAATGAAGCGAGGAAACTCACTTTGTAACAATTCTTGGGTGGCGCGTGCTGAGTGCGATGGTGCTGAGTCCTGTTGGAATGTCCAAGGTCTGCGGTCAATTATTATTACCATCTTTCCCCACTAATAAATAAAGTTTTTTTTTCAAAACCGCTATTATGTAATTAAACAACGACAAATAAAAAGATAATAATTTTATTTCCGATCTCTTTACATTCGATTTCCATTGATTATACAACAAAAATATAAAGCATACTTTTAGTTGCTAAGTAATTACTTAATTGGAATTGTGTGACACCCTACAGTTTTTACTCAGTCGAAACAAAATATATGTGTCGCCCTGTTCTTTGCAGGGTCATACATTTTATTAAAAACCTTTTTTATACCCTCAGCCATATGGCTAGAGAGCGTATATATCATTTGATACGGTCAGTTTTAGACCTTAGGTCTCTTTGGAACAAATCCGTTTCAGAACATTTGGAGTCGATCTAGCGATGTCCGTCCGCCCGTCTGTCTGGCTGATGGGCACGATAACTCTCTCTCGTAATATTTTTGTCAAACTTTGATCAAGTTCGGAGATGGGCAATATCGGTCCACTCCTTCTGGTATCCTCCCACAAAAGATCGAAGATTTCAAAAATTTATTTTCTGCACAGAAAGAGGAAACGATAATCCGATTTCACACCAACTTTGCAAATCTTAATATTTGCGTCAGTTCTAGGTCAGGTGCGAAAATTGATCTGTTCACTCCATCAAGTACCTCCCCCACGAAGGGTCAAAATTTTGAATAATTACAACTCTCATAAAATGTGATGTAAGTGTCCTATTGTCTTCAAATTTCACACATCGCAATATTTAAATTAACCCAAGGTCTAGTGTTAAGATGGACTACATCGGTCCACTTCTTCCGGTACCTACCCCACACACAAGGTCAAAATTTTCAAAAAACAAAAACATTTTTTTTTTCTGTACAGAAAGAGAAGCTATAATCCGGGTTTGCTCCAACTTGGCAAATCCTAATATTTGCATCAGTTCTAGGTCAGGTACAAAAATGGATAATATCGGTACACTCCATCAAGTACCTCCCCCACAAAGGGTAAACATTTTGAATGATTATAAGTCTTATAAAATGAGATGCCAGAATCCGATTGTCTTAAAAAATTTCACACATCCCAATATTTTCATAAACCCTAGATCGGGTGTTAAGATGACATATATCGGTCCACTCCTTCTGCTACCTCCCCCACAAAAGGTAGCAATTTTGAATACCCATTAAACTCATTAAATTAACATCCGATTCCATTTAGACTTGGCACACCTGAATATTTCCATCAACACTGGATCTGTTATAAAAATGATAGAGATCGGACCATTCCTTCTCGTATCTCCCCTACAAACGGTCAAAATTTTGAATATCTATGAAGGTCATAAAATGGTTCTCTCCGAATTTCGCAAATCCCATTATTTCTACTAACCCAAGGTCTGGTGAAGGAGTGACCTCTGGTACCTCCCCTACATAGGGTTCAAGATTTTGAAAAACCAAATGCTCAAAGAAAGCGAAATAAGCATCCAACTCTCTTCAAATAACACACATCCAAATATTTTTGCTAACGCAAAATCTGTTGTGAAGATTATATACATCTGTCAACCCCTTCTGGTACCTCACCCACAAAGTATCACAATTTCCAATAATTATATCTGTCATAACTTGCGAAACAAGTCGGCGATTCTTTACAACTTGCTATATCTATATATTTCTCTTAACCAGAAATCTGATATAAATATGTGATTTATCAAAAGTTCTGATTTCGCAAATTTTGCACATACCAATATTTTTATCTGTATTAGATGAAGTATGAAAATGGAATACGCAATATCTGCTACCTCACGACATATTTCCACATTTTCCAAAAATTTGCACATATCTCATATAAAGTATAGGTAGTCGATATAGGCCAAATCTGGTACGATGTAATATTTGTGACAGTCTTAGGTCAGTTACGAATTGGTAAATATTGTTCAACCTCTTCGGAATCTCCCCCATAAAGAGTCAACATTTTGAATAATCATAACTCAAGGCTGGGGGTACACATCTGTCGGCAAAACCGACTGATACTATTTTACTTGTTTTGATAATTTTTACTTATAGCATACGAAATGATGACTCAAAATTTGCTTTTTTCAAATATAAAAAATGTGTCCAGAAAACCAGATACAAACACCAATGTAGAATTGTGTTTATGGAATAAATCTCACACAAAAATAATGGAGTTAACTTCGTCATAGCCGAACTTTTAATACCCACCACCATTAGGTAAAGAAAACCTATAGAAATTATTGTATCGGTAGTGAATATTTAGGACAGTGTCCTTTTAAAAAGCGAAAAGTCTTTAAAATATAACAGAGAGCGGTACCATTACGCGACTTACAAGTACCAAAATTTAAAATACGTTTCTCGAGTTTCTTATAGAAATTTTTGAAGATTTATACTAGAATTCAAATAATAATCGAGCTGTGTTCTAAAGCCGATAATTTGCTCACATTTTGAGTGGACTTCATTTTATTTTATTTCCTTCATAGTAGTTGTGGAGTTCCTTTTATTATCTTAGTTTTAGATAATACTATTCGTAATTTAAGAGTTTTTTAGTTGGAAATATAAGTTTTATTTTACCAAATTATTATTTGTTTCATTAAAATATATTCAAGTTTTTTTTTTTTTTTTTTTAAATTTAATTCTTTTGTTTTTCCAGCCAATTTTCAACATCCTTCAAATTACTCTTCAACCAATTGATGTTATATTTTACATTCTCCAAGGCCTGTTTACGTGACGTGGTACCAGCTCCGGCTTCAGGATATTTGCCAAAGAATTCCAACATTTCTTCGTATTTAGTTTCGGTGGTGAAACGTTCTGTTATGCTCGACACCATGCGGCCAAAGTAACGATCATTTAGGCCGAATCGAGCCACCATGGTTGACCAGTTTTCACGAATATATTCCCAGACAATGGGTTCTCCCACAGAGTTGGCGGCAATGTTTTGAATGCAAGTGAAATAGTCCTGACTACGCACATTCTCTTCGTTCCAAGCCAAATCAATGAATCTAAAAAGGAAAATGAGGTAAGTGGTTTTATTGTTTTAAATATAAAAAATAAATAAATATTGAATTTATACCTCTTCAAAATCCATGGTTCACGAATTCCGGCCAGACCATACATCAGTTTGAGTTTTTCACTGGCATTTTGTTCGTCCAAAAATAGTTGCCATAATTGTTCCCATTGTTGTTGTTTACCCAATCTCTGCATGCCATAGTAATAGATCACTTCTCTTAGATCTGGTTCAGGTTTATTCGTAGGATCGGCCAAGAAGGCAGTGAAGCGACTTGAGGCCTGATCCAAGCAGTCTGGCAAACCCAAGGAACAGGCAGCCGTAATGACACTGACACGAAGGCGACTAAAGAAAAAGAGTGAAATGAATAAATAAGAATATTGTTTTGAAAACAGTGTGCAGATACAAAATATTCGTTTAAAACGTCGTATTTTGCTTCAAAATATTCAGAATCCAAATCACTACTTCAAAATTATTTATTTGCAATTGAAACATTTTATACGAGATTGTTTTAAAAAAACAGTGTGCAGATTTAAAATATTCGTTTGGAAGTTCGTACTTTTTTTTTAAATATTCATACTAAAGACGGAACAGTGTAGTAAATATTTAAGAAGATTGTCTTGAAAACAGTGTGCAGATTCAAAATATTCGTTTGGAAGTTCGTACTGTTTTTCATTTTTTTCTTTTTTAAACGTTGTTCAAAATATTCAAATTTTAAAAAAAGATATGTATGTTTATACACTTCAAATGTTACGATTCAGAATCCAAATTAAAACTTCAAAATGATTTATTTGCAATAGAAACGTTTCATTTGGGCTTGTTTTAAAAACAGTGTGCAGATCCGAAATATTCGTTTGGAATTTTGTAAATGTTTTCAAATATTTCGGAATCCAAGTCACATAAATAAGAAGAAGCAGTGTGTAGATTTTTTTGAAAACAGTGTGTAGATTCAAAATATTCGTTTGGAAGTTTGTATTTTTTTCAAAATTTTTTTTTGAAATGTTACGATTCAGAATGCAAATTACAACTTCAAAATATTTATTTGTTTTATTTGAAACGTTTGATATAATACTGTTTTAAAAGCAGTGTCCAGATCGAAAAATTCGTTTGGAAATTTGTAAATGTTTTTAAATATTTCAGAATCCAAATAACAAATTCAATCTTTTTTATTTGTAATTTAAAGCATTCTATTGAAAGTCAAAGGATTTCATTTGAAAATTAGATTGATTTGCTCCAAATTTAAAATTTTTGTTTCAATTTGAAAAAGTTTCATTTGAAATCCAAATTCAATTGAAATTTAAATCAATACAAAACTTTACAATTTCAAGTGAAATGTTTTGATTCTCGATAGAATGTCTTGTATCACAAAATTGATGTTTTGAGTTCAAAAGTTTATGTTTTCAATTCCAAATTAAAGTTTTTTTAATAACATTCAATGGAAATTCAAAATGTTTCACATGAGAACCAAAATGTTTTGTTTGAAATTCAAAAAGTTCCATTTAAGATCCAAAAAGTTTCATTTGAAATTCGAAACATAGTATAACTCACTTAAAATTCAAATCAATACGAAACGTTAACAAATTCAAATTAAATGTTTTGATTCTCAAATCAATGTTTTGAATTCCAAATGTAATTTTTATTGAATAACATTCTATTGAAATTCAACACGATTTATGTAAGTACCAAAATATTTCGTTTGCAATTGAGAAAGTTCCATTTGAAATCCAAAACATTTCGATCTTATCTATTGAATTTATTCAAATTAATTGTTTTGATTATCGAATGTATCTCAAAATCAATGTTTTGAATTTCAAATATAAATTTTAAATGAATAATATTCTATTGCAATTCAAAACGTTTTATGTAAGTATCAAAATATTTCGTTTGCAATTCAAAGAGTTTCATCTGAAATCCGAAACATATCCGATCTTAAACTTAATGCTCTAGATTGAAATCGGTCGTTTTGGCAAAATCCATTTGCATTTTGAAACAAGACAAAATGTTTTGAATCCCAAATCGAATGTTTTGACTTCCAAATTTAATGTTTTGATTTTCAAATTTAATATTTTAAATCTTAAAATTCATGTTTTGTTCCAGTATGCTAATCAAAACCAATGTTTTGAGTTTCAGACATGAATGTTTTGATTCTCAAATTAAATGTTTTGAATCTCAAATTTCATGTTTTGTGTTTAAAAATCAATGTTTTGGATTTGAAATATGAATATTGTTTACAAATGATTCTACTTACTTTTTCAAATGATTATTTTCATCGACATTCCATGTAACCTCCTGATAAACTTTTTCGATCAGCGATCGGGCATACAACAAATAATCCATGTAAATTTCCGTTTGCATAAGATTACCCTGCAAGGCCTGGAGTTTAGTGGCCGCCACATACCATGGTACAAAATCAGATTCCTTTTCCAAATATTTCGTCATATCTAAGGCGACATCATAGCTAATTTGATTGGCATCGGCCAAGGCAAAGACATCGTTCAACAAATGGGCACGATCGGCAATATCGAATTTCTCTGGTGATGCCACTAAAGCCGAAATAATTTCTTGCCACATATCATCTTCGTAATTGACACGATAGTAACCGACTTGATGGCTATTAAATTTCAACCATTTCGTGTCAATTGGTACCGAAACAGATGCCGACGATTTGTCATAATTGAACCAAGTGCGACGCACTGTGGCATCGGCATCGTAGAAATAGGTAAGGGGTATAGACCATTTGTAACTGGAAAATATAAATATGCATTAATTAATGTAAAAGTGATAAAGATTCTCGAAATCTCACTTGAATTCCGAATCATCATAGGTCTTCTCATAATCTTCAACATTCGAAAAGAAACGTTTTTGGGTAATTTCGAAAGTGGTTGCGGAACTTCGTTTTACATTGACCACAGGCAAGCCCATTTGTTCGGTCCAGGTGCGCATCATTAATCTGGAAATACACAAAAAAATAAATAAATAAATATAAGCCCAAAATTGGGAAAAAATATATTTCCTACTCACTTGACATCAAAGCCAGGATTGGTATTTGCCACTTCGGTGAGGAAATCATCGGTAACAGCATTTTTATATTTAAAGTTGTTCAAATAATTCGTAACAGCTTCTTCGAACTTCTCAACACCGACAGTGTCTTCTAACATGCGAATAACCGAAGCACCCTTTTCATAGCTAATGGTGTCGAAATTTTCATTGATTTGATCGGGTGTCTCGACGGGCTGGACAATGGCGTGGGAGGATGGCGTTGAATCGAATTTCATAACGCTATGCAAGGCATGCAATAAGAATTGGTCGGGCTGAAAAGGAATAGATATTATGATTTTTTAAACTTTAATTATACATGTCATTCTGTAAAGAGGAAGCTGGCCCCACATTGGGCGCCAATATTTATTATGAAGTAAAATTGAAAAAAATAAAAAAGAAGGAATGATGTGATTTCTACCATCTTTATAAGAGATTTCGCGTTGATGGAAATATTGAGATATAATAAGTCTGAATGGAATCGGATATTACCTCGAGTTGTACGAGCCTCATGGGTATTAAAAATTTTGACCGTTTGTGAGGGAGGTACCGGAAGGATTGGACCGATATATCCTATCTTCACAGCAGATGTTGTGTTAGTAAAAATAATGGGATGTGTGAAATATGAAGAGAACCGGATGCCTATTTCTAATTTTATACTCATTTTAATTATCCAAAACTTTGATCCTTTGTGGGGGAGGTACCAGAAGGAATGGTCCGATCTCTACCATCTTTATAACAGATCTTGATTTGATAGAAATATTGAGATTTGTCAAGTCTGGATGGAATCGGATATTAACCTCGCGTTTTACGAGCCTCATGGGTATTCAAAATTTTGATCCTTTGTGGGGGAGCTACCAGAAGGAGGGGACCGATATATTCCATCCTCCCAGCAGATCTTGTGTTAGTAGAAGTAATGGGATGTGTGAAATATGAATAGAACCGGATGCTTATTTCGTATTTGTCAAGTCTTCTTGTTTTACGAGCCTCATGGGTATTCAAAATTTTGACAGTTTGTGGGGAAGGTACTAGAAGGTGTGGACCGATATATTCCATCTTCACACCAATTCTTGGCGAATGAAAATATGTGCGATGTGTGAAATTTGAAGACAATCGAACTCTTAAATCACATTTTATAAGAGTTATAATTATTCCAAATTTTGACCCTTTGTGGGGGGAAGTACTGATGGAGTCCATTTTCCGATATTGTCCATTTTCGCACCTGATACAGCACTGATGGAAATATTAGAATTTGTAAAGTTGGAGTAAAATTTGATGATCCTTTCTATTTCTGTGTTGTACTTTTTTTTGTTGAAAATTTTGACCTCTTGTGAGAGTGGGAGGGAGTGGACCGATTATGCCCATTTCCGAACTCGATCTATGTTTGGTAATATTATTACGATGTACAAAGTTGGGACCATATCGGATACTCCCTTCAAGATAGACGGACGAACGGACATCGGTAGATCGAATCCAAATGTCCTGAAACGGATTTGGACCACACAAACTTAGGGTCTATTTCGATGAGGCACCTTTTGGCCTTATCAAATGATATATCCCCTTTCTAGCCATATGGCTGCGGGTATGAAAACCTCAATATTATACATCGAGATGGGATAACAAGTGAAAGTCGATTAAAATATCCTGAACTGTGATTTTCGAAACCTCCGTACAACTCAAAATATCGATCATATCGAAATATATCAGAATATCGAGTAAGCTTGTCAGAATGAAATTGAATGAAGAAAATTCCTATTTCTAGGATAAAAACAAAATATGATCGAGGTGTACTGTCTGCGCATGGTAGACTGCGACATTTATACTTTGACAACACCACAAGTCGATTGGACGAAAGCCGACTTAGGTATCCAAGTCCAGCTATGTCAAGTACCTGGCTAACAAAGGCATTATTCAAACAGATTGCAGTAGAAAAGACGTCGTTGGAATTGGAGAGAATTATAGGGTGACATGAAAAAAAAAACTGCAACCAACTTCAGACTGGTCTCATTTCAAAGGCACTCGTTGGCACTAAACAAATACCAAAGTGTCGATCACCTCAAGCAAGCCTAAGAGGTTAGCTGAAAATGTGCACCTTCGGTTGGCCACCAGAACTCAAACACCGGTCATGGTGATGGTGTCGGCCGTCATAACAGCCTATGGTCGCTCTCTGCTCGTATTAATCGACCGTGGCATCAGAATAAATGCCGAATATTATAGCGAAAATATTCTGGAGGGTGTATTAAAGCTTTGGGAACGCACACATTTTTGGCCGAAGAACTTGGACATTACAATAACAGGACTCAGAACCATCGCACTCGGCGCGCGCCACCTAAGAATGCTTACAAAATGAGGTTCCTCGCTTCATTTCCAGCGCAAAAATCTCCGGATACCAATCCGTTGAACTATTGTGTCTGGAGTATTTTGTAAAGCAAGGTTGGCACTAAAAATACCAAATTGTCGATCACCTCAAGCAAAAGCTTCGCCGATAATGGGCCAAATTACCGCAGAGCAACATTCGGGCAGCGTGTGACGTTTTCATTGGCCGTTTGAAGCCCATAATTCGGGCTAACGGATTATTCTATAATTTAATGATATTTCCGACATTTTTTTGCTTCCATTCATCATTCATCCCACCCTGTATGTGAATTATAATTAATTTTTTTATTAATGACCCCCCTTGCACAATAAAGGAGCCCATTACAAAATTTACTTACCAAACCCCAATCAGGATTAATGCTATTAATTGCTTTATATTCCATGAAACGGGCAAACCCTTCATTTAGCCAGAGATCGTTCCACCAATTCATTGTAACTGCAAAATAAGTTTATATGCGTTAAAAATCTCTAATGTCACTGGAAAAACTCCATGTGTAAACCTACCCAGATTTCCGAACCACATGTGGGCCAATTCATGAGCAATTACGGCAGCAACCCGCTGTTTATTCCAAGTAGAGCTCATGTCACGATCGTACAAAAGAGCCGCCTCACGATATGTCACTAGACCCCAGTTTTCCATAGCATTCGAAGAGAAATCGGGAATGGCAGCCATGTCTAAAAATTGGATAAAACGGTTATAAATTGTTAGAGGATTACTTTTGATTTTACGTAGTTTAATGTAAAACTTTGTTCTACAAAGTTTATGCTACTATTATGGAGAGCTACGATTTGTTCGATTTTACTCGAGAATAAAAATACTCGGGTACGAGAGCGCTCGAAGAGTACGCGTTTTACAAGAAGTTTTCCTCTCTTCTTTGGATTTATGAGGTAGGGTTCGCGAGTATTCCCTCCATACCAAAGTGGTATGAGCTTCATTCTCAAGCGAATTTTACTCCCTAATCGTATTCGAACGAGTATTTCGGAGTTCTCTTATTAGGCACATTTATTGTAAGCTTACTTACCCAACTTTGGCAGAGGATATTCAACCTTATAGTTCTTAACAAAATATTCCATCACAGCTGCTGCGGTATCGGCAGCAAAGGCCGTTTTCGATAGCTGATGTTGTGTTGCGAAAATACGAATATCAAATGGTTCTCCATATACGGGATTAACAGTTCTGGTGGTACTGGCAAAATCCGAAATGAGAAAAACAGCCAAGTATGTACTCATCTCAACACTGGTGGCGAAATTAACTTCTGTATAATCGTCCAAAAATGTTGTGCTCTAGAAAAGATGGAAACACAGTTGTAATCGCAGGAGAATGGGAAATGCGATCGAAAAACTTACCTCTATATTCATATTGGAGAGAGCATGATAATTATCGCCAGTTGGTGTTACCAATGTAATGCGGAATTTTGCCTTCATATTTGGCTCATCGAAACAGGGAAAAGCTTGACGGGCATAGGTCGGTTCGAATTGCGATGTGGCAATGTGTCTGTAGGAAGTGAAGAAAATAATTGTCATTATATAAGTAAATGTTCATAAATCGTATGTTTTCACAGATCGCCGCAGGGGGAAGCTCGAGCTAATGATCCAATGGTGGCCTTCTATCAGAAAATGCTATAAATTATACGACTGGCCCCTAATGTCAGTTCTGTTTTGACATTTTTGTACTAAACATATGCGTAATACACGTTAATAAACAATGTTGCGCTACACTACTCCAGAACACGGAATATTGGTGGCTATTTATTTGACCAATAATCGGTCGGTGACTTTGGCACAACGTGAATTTCGTCGCAGATTTCCTGGCCGTCCAACGCCTACTGGTGAAACACTACGACGTTTTGCCGCTCGCCTCGAAGGGACTGGCACAACAAAAGATGCTGCCAGGCGTGGCAGAACCCTGAGTATCCGTTCTGCAGGAAATATTGCTGCTATAGTCGAGGATGTCATGGAAGCGCCGTCGACATCAACCAGACAATGTGCCACGCAAATGGATAGCAGTCGACGGTCTTTACAGCGAATTTTAGTACAAGATTTGAAGATGTGTTCGTACAAAGTCGAGATGGTGCATCAGCTATTAGCTGCTGACCGCCATCCGCGTCTAACATACGCCCAAGCCACCCTTAATCACCACACAGAAGGAAAAGATGATTTCTCATCAAAAATAATCATGAGTGATGAGGACCATTTCGATCTAAGCGGGTAGACCATTACACCAACTTTTTTATTCGAAGACGTAGAGGACCAGACACTTTCTATGAATGGTCAACGACTTTTTTGCCGCAACTTCATGAGATGTGATTAGAAATCATCTGGTTCCAACAGGACGGTGCCGTTGCACTGCACGTACCAAAATGCATTTCCCGGACGCCTAATCTCCCGTTTTGGCAATTTGCACTTCTGAGTTGATTTGACCGCTCCAGACTTTTTTGTGAGACTTTTTGAATTCTTAAAGACAATATTCGTCAAAGCTGTAAAGACCCATTGCCGGAAGTTCTGGCCAAAGTGATGGACTTTTTATAACCTCCACCATTCGGAAGGAAATTGAAAATTAAAAAAAAAATCCGCCTTTATATGAAAGCTATACAAAGACGAGGTGCTGCATAAGATTTTTTTGGCATATGCGAAATTAGAAACAGTTCTGATGAATAATGTCGCTAATATGATCAAAATACCGAATAAAGGGAGGTATGGGGGCTATACCAAAACGTGGACCTGCACAGACAATTTTCTGTCTTAGGCTGTAGTATCCATTACAAACTTCAAATACCAAATTTTAGACAATTCCCGTGAATAATTTCGCTTAAATCACCAAAATATGAAGAAACCGTTATATTAGGGCTATGCGAAGACGTGAACCTACACAGACAATTTTCCGTCATAGGCTGTAGAACCCATTACGAACTTTAAATGTCAAATTTGAAACAAATCCGGTGTATAATGTCGCTAAAATCATCAAAATAATGAATATCGGGAGGTACCGTTATATGAGGGCTATACGAAAGAGTGGACCTACACGCACAATTTTCTGTCATAGGCTGTAGTATCCATTACGAACTTCAAATACCAGATTTGAAACATTTCTGGTAAATAATGCCGCTAAAATCATGAAAATACCGAATATCGGGTGGTGCCGTTATATGGGGCTACACCAAAACGTGGAACTGAATATTGGGAGGTGCCATTATATAGGAGCTATACACGGACAATTTTCCGTCATAGGCTGTAGTATCCATTGTGAACTTAAAATACCAAATTTGAAACATTTCCGGTGAAAAATGTCGCTTAAATCACCAAAATATCGAAAAGTTCTGCGGACATAACATACATTTGAGTAAAATTTTATCTACCCACTTCATTTTGGTCGACATCGCTAAATCGACATAAAATGTTATGCTGATCAATAATTTTGTGGAGTCTAAAATGTATGTTTCGAGGTGTCACAAACGGAATGACAAACTTAAAAATAATGACAGGGCAATATTTTTTTTAATGATTTGACGGAGTAAGGGAGGTCGTGACAAATAAATTAAAAAAAAACTCACGGCAGCCAAACATTAGCTTATTTAACAAGATTTCTCTTTGTAAAAAGGTTAATTAATTGTTCAATGAAGGCAATTTTTGTAATAGTACTACCAATTCAAATCAAGATTTCATTCATTTTTCAAAAACTTTCCTGTAGCCCTTAAAAAATTACCCATTATTTACCTGACGATTGGGGAAATAATAAAACATTAACAAATCACTCAGTCTAAAGCACCATTAATATGTGTAAACAACGCTAACTCTACAAATACCTTTGTAAAACAAAGCATACTTTTAGGCTGACCGATAAAATTCACAATTGTCAATTTCTCAAACATTACAAATATTTCTTTCTCTCTTTTCTCACAACACTTACCTTTTCTCATTGCTGGGTGTTGAGTATGTGCTCCTATAAAGGCCAACAATCTTTCCCAGCATTTCACCTTCAAAAATAATGCCCAAACGCATTTCGCTGCCACCCTTCAATACCTCCTCCATATTGACAATTAAAAATTGACGCAAAGTATCGAATTCATAGCTGGCCACTTTGACGCTGCCGCTTGAGGTGAAGACAGAACTGATGTGTAATTTATGTGAGTGCAAAACAATTTGTTGCGTGTCCTCAACAACGCTGACGGTAATCACTTCCTGACCCGTGAAATTGCCAGTTTTGATATCGGGATGCAAATACAAATCATAGAATGTGGGTTTTATGGCTGTGGGCAAGCGATAGTCAATCTGAAATAAATTTAACCAAAATTAAATTGTTTTTGATTTCAAAACTTTGATATTATCGATTTATTAACATTATAGTTAATAACCAGAACTATAATGTCATAAATATAGCTGGTCTGGCAATTTTTAATAAAGCAATAAATAATGAGACCTTCTGCCAACAAACAATTCATAAATTTTATTGTTGTTAAATATCCACTCTATGTGGATACACTTTATGATGGCACCACTAAAGATTCGTTCGATATCCAACTAAAACAACATTTTTTTAATATCTTATCAAGGAATATTGGATTTTTTTCACCGCCAACAACAGATTCTGAAAACAATATATTTTTTATGATATTTACAAAAGTTTGATAAAAAAAATCAATTACACTTTTATTGTGGTCAGCTGAGTTATTTGTTTGTTGTAGAAGGAAAGAGCATTGTACATCCTTTGTGATCATAAAATTCTATGACAATTTAGCCATGTCCGTTCATCACCCTCGCGTCCGAATGAAATGAAGAAGGTTGATAAAATTTTACTCAGATGTATATTAAATTCCCCAAAATGTTTGGGCCATATACGTCAACTTTTTGGCAAAGCCCCCACTTAACTTTTACCGCCAGCTTTAAGATGTTACGGGCGTTTTAGTCACAATTCATCCAACCGAATTTGCAGTAAATTGGCAGTTTTTGTTCCTTGTATATAAGTCGAAGTTTTGGTATATTCCCATACCCCTTATAGTTATTTATAATTGGATTTATTTCAAACTTGATACTAATAATAGATTTCTGAAAATTGCCCGTACAGGTACAATATGCTGTGCTAGAAAATTATTTATATATAGAAAATTATTTATATATAGAAAATTATTTATAATAGCCTCCATATAACTGCAGCTTCGCATATTCCATATTTTTCCAATTTTCGACACATTTTTAAAAGGAAAAATCTCAAAATTGTTATTGAAGTTCGTCTGTGCCTTCTCTGGCAGATAAGGCAATGCTTTCATTTATAACTTTACCGCTTGATATTCGGTATTTTGAAAACTTTAAAGACATATTTTTCAACGGATTTTTTTGTGGAGGATATTAAAAATATGACCCGGCCGAACTTAGCTGCTTTTTCCTTGCCAGAATTCCGAAATTTATAACGAGAGTTACTGATACATTGCAGGATAGATTGTTACCAAAAAATAAAAAAAACTTTTGGCTTAGGCTATGAAAAGATCTAAAATTGTACTAAATTTCTAAAATGGTACACAAATTCCAAATGGTTCCACTTTAGAAATTTAGTACCATTTTAGAACTTTTCATAGTCTAAGCCAAAAATATTTCTTTTTATTTTATGGTACAAACTGTACTAAATTTGAAGCTAGAATTTTATCACATTTAGTACTTTTCGAACAATTATTGTAAGCATTTGGAAAACCACCTCCAAATCTCAATTGCAGTTAGCAAAAGGAACCTCAAGATAAAATTTCATGATTCCAGCTCTATTCCTTCACCCAATACCAAATATAGTACCATTCAGTACTTTTCCTACAATTGTAGTACACATTTCGAAAACCACCTCCAAACCTCAACTCCAGACACTAGCGGAGACCTCAGTAACAAATTTCAGGATTTTAACTCTATTCCTTCATCCAATAGCACGTTTAGTACTATTTAGTTCTTTTCGTACAATTGTAGTACACATTTCGCAAAACTACCTCCAAATCTCAATTCCAGATTCAAACAGGGACTTCAATATCAAATTTGATGATTTAAGCTCAGTTCCATCATCCAATAGCACGTTTAGTACTATTTAGTTCTTTTCGTACAATTATAGTACACATTTCGAATACCAAATTTAGTACTTCTAAATATTTTCATACAATAATAGGGCACGTTCAAAATACCAACAGAGACCTCAATATCAAATTTGAGGATTCTAGTCCTATCATTCACCCAACACCAAATATTGTACTTTTCGTACAATTATAGTACTCATTTTCAAAACAATCTCTATGTCTCAACCTCAGATACCAACTGCAATCTTAATATCAAATTTTTAGGATTCTAACCCTATCCCTTCACCCAATACCAATTTTAGTACCATTTAGTACTTTTCGTAGAAATATTGAACGCATTTCCAAACCACCACTAAATCTCAACTACAGATACCAGGAGTAATCTAAATAGCAAATTTTACGATTTCAACTCTATTCCCTTATTCACTACCAAATATAGTACCATTAAGTACTTTTCGTACACATTTCCGAGACCCCCTCTATATGTTTAGGATACACATAAACAGCGACTCTATTAGCAAATTTAAGATTTCAAGCAATATATGTTCACCCAATACCAAAATGTACAAAATATAGTTATATTTTGTACTTATCGTGCACTTGTAGTACACCTTTCAAAAATCCACGCCTTTATCACAAATCTACCACAAACAGGGACAGATTACCCTAAACCAAAATGTTTAAAATTTAGTACCATTTGGTATAGTTCGCACACTTAGTACACATATCCAAAATCACCTTCATATAATAAACTTTGTTTCCATCACTGATTCTAGCTCCATTTGTTTGCGTAATACCAAATGGTACTATTTTAGAAGTTTAGTACATTTTTACCACTTTTCGTAGAATTCAAGTTTGAATTTTCAAAAACCCTTAGGCACATCTATCCTGCACTTAATGTGTGACTCACATTCCAAAATTCAGAATTCGAGCTCATTCCGTTTGTCCAATACAAAGTATTCACTTTTTAGTGGGGCTTGGTGCTTTTCGTGACCTTTTAGTACGAGTTTCCAAAAACCCGACCTCATCACACACCAACGCACCAAGACTGCCGCCGTTTCGATTAAGATCGGTCAATTATTTCACTACTCGTTACCTATCATGGAGATTCGAACCAGCGCAGATCGAACACTATTAAAAAATTTGTGGTTCCAATTTACATTTAGCGCTCATATAATCCTTCACCCGATATCCCATTTCGAATTATGAGCTTTCATATTTTTTAGATTTTTTTGAATTTTAAGTCACTTTTAAAATTTTCAAAAATCAAAAATAAAAACAAAATTATCTAACTCACCTTTGTTTCATCCAGCAATTTGTCCGCAACTTTTTTAGATTCGAATGTAAGTTCCGTTTCAATATTATTTACATTTCCCGCAAATGTGGCGGCAGCCTCACCATTCAACATGCTACGAGGCAATTCCGCTGCCACCAAGGACAGCGTGATTGTTAGGATTGTTGATCCAAGGACATACTTTAAAATATTCGCCATTTCTATTAAAATATTCCCTTCTTAGGGATAATCACAAACACACACGGTCACAACTCAATCAATTACTGGCCTGAAAGACAGACCATGGCAAACTAAATAAGATTTTGAAATTTCTTTTAAATTTCCATTTTTTTCTGTCCGGTTTATCAAATCGTAACGATATGCAATTGACATCAATAAAATTAGAGTAATATTGATTATTGGGTTTTTAATGACCAGGCGTTTATGTGCATTGATATGATGTACATATGATGGTGTGATGATAACACAATATTTTATGTTATTATTGCAGATTTCTTTAAAAATTCATTTGAGTTGGATATTCCGATAATTGGAGGGGTTGATAAATGGCAGAAAATTGTCATGATTTTTTGGAAAAAAATGATCAAAGAATATGTTTTCAGATTTCAAGTGCAAAAATCGGAGGATAATTATAAAATGTATTCCGAAAGTGTTCTCCATATCTTGGGAAGATTCTCCATATGTCCACAGGTTGCTTTGAGTGGAAAGTCCTAAAGAATTCAAATGAAGAATGAACAAGTTAAAAAGTATCAGTCGATTTTGCCGACAGATGTACAATACCCTCAGCCAATGTTCGGTTATTAAAATATATATGACTTCTGTTATGATTATTGTAATTGCATAAAGGGTCAAATGCAGTGAGTTCCGCAGGAATGGGCCAATCTTGACAATTTCGTATCGGACATAAATAAATATGATATTAATATTGCGACTTACAAGGTTTACACTATATCGACTACTTCCTATACTTTATTTGAGATATGTGATAATTTTAAGAAAATGTTGAAAAGTGCGTGATGTACCAGATGCAGTCGTCCTGAGTATTCCACTTTCGTACTTCACCTAATACAGATAAAAATATTGGTATTGGCAAAATTTCAAGAAAATTAAAATCTTTAACCCTATGTGGGGGAGGTACCAGAAGAAATGGTCCGATCTCTACCACCTTTATAACAGATATCGCGTTGATGAAAATATTGAGATGTACCAAGTCCGAATGGAATCTGATTTTAATTCCGCGTTTTATGAGCTTCATGGGTACTCAAAATTTTGATCCTTTCTGGGCCAGGTACCAGAGGGAATGGTACGATCTCTACTTTATATCTTTATAATAGGCATTGTGTTGACAGAAATATTGAAATGTGCCAAGTCTGAATGGAATCGGATTTTAATTTCGCGTTTTATGAGCTTCACGGATATTCAAAATGTTGACCCTTTGTGGGGGAGGTACCAGAAGGAGTTGACCGATATATCCCATCTTCACAACAGATCTTGGGTTCATAAAAATAATGTGACCTGTGTAATTTGAAGAGAACCTTATCCTTGTTTCGTATTTTATGATTGTTTGTGTTATTCAAAACTTTGGCCCTTTGTGGGCGAGGTACCAGAAGGAATTTTCCGATCTCTACCATTTTTATGACAGATCTTGTGTTGATAGAAATATTGAGATTTGTTAAGTCTGAGTGGAATCGGATGTTAATTTCATGTTTTATTAACTTAATGGATATTCAAAATTTTGAGCTTTTGTGGGGGAGGCGCCAGAAGGAGTGGACCGATATATTCCATCTTCACACCACACCTTGGGTTAATACAAATATTGTGATGTGTTTAATTTGAAGACAATCGGAGGCTCACATCACATTTTGTAAGCGTTATAATTATTCAAAATTTTTACCCTTTGTGGGGGAGGCACTTTATGGAGTTGACCGATATTATCCATTTTTGCACCTGGCCTAGAACTGACGCAAATATTAGGATTTGAAAGTTGGAGCATAATCGGATTATCCGTTCTCTTTCTGTGCAATACATTTTTTTTTTTTAAATTCTACCTTTTGTGGGAGAGGTACCAGAAGGAATGGGCTGATATTTCCCATCTCCGAACTCAATTTAAGTTTGATGATTATGTTACAATCTACCAAGTTAAGACCAAATCCGATACTCCCTTCGAGAGTTACGAACATCTATAGATCGTCTCTAAATGTCTTGAAACGGAATTAGTCCAAAGAGGCCTAGGGTCTAAAACCATTATTTCGATGAGGCACGTTTTGGCCATATGGCTGAGGGTAGAAAAATTCCGTTGAAAAAATACATCTCAAATGAAACTCCTAATATGGAGACTATACGATGACGTGTTCCTTAGTAATTTTCAGTCATAGGTTGTAGTACCTATCACGAACTTCCAATATGAAATTTGAAAGAATGTAGGTGAATAATGCCGCTAAAATCATCAAAATACCGAATACAGTGGGTTATCGTTAAATGGGGTCTATACGAAGTCGTGAACCTGTATGCCCGATTTTTTGTTATAGGCTGTAGCACCTATTGCGAACCATAAATATGAAATTGGAAACAATTCCGCCGAAAAAAAGTTTGATAATATCATAAAAACCGAATATCGGGAGGTATCTTTATATGGGGGCTATACGAAAACGTGGACATACATGGCCCATTTACGAACTTAACCTCTCTACTGGGATAATACACGTGTGTTCAAAATTTTTGCCTTCTATGTCAATTTGTTTCACAACGACTTAGAACGATTTAGAAAAAGGGGAGAGAATATTTCCTGCGAAACGCCTACTCTTTAAACACTGGAGCAAATCGAAGGTCTTTCTAGAACCATTATTTCGATGCAACATGTTTTGGTCGTACCAAATGGAATAAAGGACATGTACATATGGAAGGTCTGTGGAAAATCAATAAAACTATGAGTGGACTTTTATCTGCAGAATATCTGAGAACAGACTTCCCTCCTCGAAGGTCTGGTATCTGTGGTAGGGCCCTCTATCTATGGCAGACCTATATAAGATCTTCTATATATCAAAAATCTACGGAAGGACTTCTATATAAGGAAGCTCTATAAGAGGTCTGCGTAGTATTTAAAAAGTATGAACTATAGATCTATAGAAAATTTTTATCAGCTGAAGACTTGTAGAACAACTTCTGCGTACGAAACAACTCTAGAAGGTCTCGTATCGGTAGATTTTTGAGTCTTTCTCTTAAAATTACAAATAGATATAATTTTGACAAAATATTTATTTATTTTTTTTAATTAAACCTAATATTGCACCATCTCCCTAATGCGACTTCAGCCAATTGGAGACCTCATTCAAGTTGGTCTTCAACCAGTTGATGTTATATTTGACGATTTCCAAGGCACGTTTACGTGAAGCCGTGCCGGCACCACCTTCTGGGTATTTCTTAAAGAATTCTTCCATTTCTTCGAATTTTGTTTCGCTGCTAAATCCGCCGGTGATGGTGGGAATCATGCGGCCCAAATAACGATCATTCAAACCGAAACGTTCGATCAATTTTGGCCAATTTTCGCGTATGTATTCCCAGACAATAGATTCACCCACAGGATTGGCGGCAATGTTCTGGATGCAGGTATACCAATCTTGGCTGCGAATGTAGTCTTCGGTTTCGGCCAAGTCAATGAATCTGGAGAAGAATGTAAAAAAGGATATTAATTTTTATCTGTGGTAGTGTTGAATCAATCTTACCTCCTCAAAATCCATGGTTCCCGGATGGCGGACAGGCCATACATTAACTTCAGTTTTTCACTGGCATCCGATTCGGCCACAAATATGTCCCACATTTTCTCCCATTGCTGTTGTTTGCCCACGCGTTGCATGCCATAGTAGTACACGATTTCACGTAGATCTGGATCGGGTTTTTCATTCGAATTGGCCAAGAAGGCGGTGAAACGTGTTGAGGCCTCGTTCAAACAATCCGGCAGGCCCAAGGAACAGGCAGCAGTAATAATGCTGACACGTAAACGACTAACAGACAAACATATTTTATAAGAGAATACAAGAGTCTTCAATTTCGTAGGACTTACTTTTTCAAATGATTATCCTCATCCACATTCCATGTCACTTCCCCATAAGCCTTAGCGACCAAACCACGAGCATATTTCAAATAATCCAAATAGATTTCGGTCTTCATCAGATTCGTTTGCAATGCCTGCAACTTTTCTGTGGCCACATACCATGGCACGAAGTCGGTTTCCTTTTCCAAATATGTGGTCATATCCAGAGCAATGGCATAGGAAATTTGACTAGCATCAGCCAGCGAGAAGATATCATTTAACAAATGGGCGCGATCGGCAATTTCGAATTTAGTTGGGCTAGCCACCAGATCGGCAATAATTTCGTGCCACATGTCGTCTTCGTAGTTGACACGATAATAACCGATTTGATGTGAATTGAATTTCAACCATTTAGTGGAAGCTGGAACTTCGACAGTGACTGATGCTTTGTCATAATCGAACCATTCACGTTTGACTGTGGCATCGTTATCGGTGGTGTAGGTGAGGGGAATGGTCCACTTGTAACTGAAATGATAACAATATAATAGTTAAATAAATAAATAATGGATTTTCCCGTAATTAAGGAAAATCGACATGGCTTCCGTGAACAACTTAGTCGAGGTTTGAACCAAAATGGGTGGGGCCATGCAAGCATTTCATTCTGACAGATACGTGTCACAAGGGCCTTGAAAACTCTACTCTCCTGTCAAGTGAAACTTGGGAAAAATTATTTTTTGCTTGGGCGCCAGTGGCATATGGAATCTGTAACGATAGGTTTTCCCCCAGGCTAGAATAGCTCGGCGGGGTACCTGGGGCTCGTACAGAAATTTGTTTATTTGCAGACAGAAAGACAGTTGTCGTACTAGGCTTCGGTTCGGAATTAGAAATGGTTCTTTGACCCAAGACCTGGATAAATACTCGAGACAAGTGACAGGATTTGGTACACAGGATTATTCAGGACTAACGAATGGGTTTTATGAGAGATAATTTGATAATTATTTGAGCGGGATCTATGAGAGTGTGCATGACTACAACTACAGGAGATCCAATCTATATTACAACAGGGATATGAACAGCTACGGCTGCAAGATACCACCTTAAGTAATCGAGCAATTCTACCAAAACGGCAAGACTACGTCTGAAAGAGACCTTAATAAATACTCCAGCAAGTTCTACAAGGATATAAAGGCTTATATGTATACAAACGGGATCTACAAGGATTTGCAAGTCTACTTCTGCCAGAGACTTTAATAAGTACTCAATCGTGATATACAGGGATATGCGAAGCTACGACTGCGCGAGATATTAATAAGTACCCATTTGGAGATCTTAATAAGTACTCAAGCCTGATCTACAAGAACATGCAAGTCTACGTCTGCGAGAGGCCTTAATAAGTACCCAAGCAGGATCTACACGGATATTCAAGGCTACTACTTCAAGAGACCAAACAGGATCTAAAAGGCTACATCTGCGAGAGATCATAATAATAGCAGCATCTACTGGGATATGCAAGGGTTCATCTGCGACAGACCTTATTAAGTACTGAAGCATGATCTACAAGGATACGCAAGGCTACTTCTTCGAGAGACCGTAATAAGTACCCAAACACGATCTACAAGGATATGCAAGGCTACTTCTAAATACTCAAGCGTGATCTACAAGGATATCTTCATAAATACATAAATTCTACCAGAATATGCAAGGCTATATATATTTTTTCCGTCACAAGTCCGGAAACATGAATTCGTAGACCTCGATACATTAAGACTATTGCTGTCGAACTGTTTACTCTCTACGAATTCGCGTAGAGATATCCATCTCTCGCCCACTTCTGGTAAAACTCGTATTCTGCTAGTACTCCCACTCGAGTAAATCGGAGCTTCGCATCCAACACCTGGAACAAAGGGCGTTCAAAGCATAAGATTATAGCTTTCAAACTGTATACCCTCTACATGAGATTATCATAGGCTGCGTACACAAAATAACGAGGAAACAACCAACCGTTCTTCGAAATGCTTGCTCGCACACGAGCGCTCCAAATGAGAGGAGAAAATACCTCTTGTACAACTCGTTTTTTCGGCTAATCTCACTCGCGCGAAAAATTAAGCAAATCGGAGATATGTAACCAATACCTAGAAGGAAATAATATCTAGAAGGATTTTCGACATCAAGAATCAGAAAACAAAGATTCGAAGACCTCGATATTGTAAGATTATAGCCTTCAAGCTGCTTATCCTCCACATGGGATTATCATAGGCCGCGTCCACAAAATAACGAGTTCAAGTCGGGGTTGGTTTTCACCTTAGACATATGATCTAATGGACGGATGGAATAGTTTCAGGTTTTGATATTGCGACGTTGCCCATTTCGAAAATTTGAATGGTTTGCCGAATAAAAAAAAACTTACTTGAATTCGGAATCATCATAGACATTGTCATAATCCTCAATGTTGGAGAAGAAACGTTTTTGGGCCAATTCAAATGTTGTTGGAGAGACACGTTTGACATTCACCACTGGCAGACCCATTTGTTCGGTCCAGGTGCGCATCATGAATCTGAAACAAAGAAAGAACATTTGTTTAAATAAATTATGAAAACTGTCAGAAAAATATCAGGAGGTTACTACACTAAAATTGTCTTCGAAATGTTAGTTCATTTTAAACTGAGCTCTTTTCTGTAAAGTCTATTACTGAGAACCAACTTCCTCTCTTAGTTCAATCGTTCGACATTCTTGTGCAATTCAGAAGTTTGTTCGTTTGGTCTATCGAAAGTTTTTGTTTTTAATTGAACTGACTCATTTTTTCCTTGCAGTGAATCATTATTTTGAACCAGTTCGTTTGAGATCTATAGAAACCTACTCCGTAAGAATAGTAGCGACATCTACATTTCCAAACTTACTTGACATCAAAACCAGGTTCGGTATTGGCCACCTCATTAATGAAATCATCCGTCACCGCGTTCTTATATTTGAATTTTGTCAAATAATTGGTAACAGCCAATTCGAATTTATCCACGCCCACAATGTCCTCCAACATGCGAATAACCGATGCACCCTTTTCATAGCTGATGGTATCAAAGATTTCCGTAATTTGATCGGGATTTTCAACTTTTTGGATAATGGGATGAGAAGCTACCGAGGAATCGAATTCCATGACGCCATGCAGGGCGTGAATCAAAAATTGGTCGGGCTGGAAGGAAAAATGAAATTTACATCCAATGAATTAAAAATTATTGAAATTTTGAAATTACCAAACCCCAATCGCTATAGATTTCATGCACCGACTTGTACTGCATGAAACGGGCAAAGCCTTCATTTAGCCACAAATCATTCCACCAGTTCATGGTAACTAAGAGCAAAAATTTTAGATTTAATAGTAAAATAAAGAGCCTTCAAAACTTACCCAAATTGCCGAACCACATATGGGCCAATTCATGGGCAATGACAGCCGCAATCCTTTGCTTATTGTAAGTGGAACTGTAACTGCGATCATACAACAAGGCCGTTTCACGATAGGTCAACAAACCCCAATGTTCCATGGCATTTGAGGCAAAATCAGGAATGGCGGCCATGTCTGTAATGAAATACAAATCGGCAGGAATAACATCAAAGGGTTAATGACTAGAGATACAGTTTGAAGTTCTTTTGAAAATTTAAAGTCGAAATCGACTTTTTTTAATTGGGAACAATTTTGAAACGTATGCGACGACGTTTTGTTTTTCTTTTTGCTCACAAAAAGCAGAGATGTACTTCTAAAAATCGATTTCTGTCGACTTTCTGAAAGCACGCAAAACTTCAAAATCGACTTTTATCGAACGATACTATTTTTTTTTTTTTTTTTTTTTTTTTTGAAGTAGAAGGGATATTAAATCGAATTTCTCTATCGTTAGAAGGATACGTAGATGCAATTATATGACATTACCTAATTTGGGCAAAGGATATTCCACACGATAGTTCTTGATATAATATTCGGTGACAGCAGCTGCGGTATCGGCTGCAAAATTAGTCTTCTCCAATTGATGGGCCGTGGCATAGATGCGTATCTCAAAATCATCGCCAATTTCAGCCTTAACTGGTCGGGTGCTGTGGGCAAAATCAGAGATCAGGTAACACGCCAAATACGTACTCATCTCCACACTTTCGGCAAAATGCACTTCGGTATAGTCATCCAAAAGGGTGGTGCTCTGAAAAGGATAAACGGTTAATTTCAAGATCTCGAAATGGATTGGATGTTTAGAAACATACCTCTTCATTCATATTGGATAGAGCATGATAACCATCACCGGTGGGTCGAACCAAGGTAATGGTGAACTTGGCTTTCATATTGGGCTCATCGAAACAGGGGAACGACTGGCGGGCATAGGTCGGTTCGAATTTCGATGTGGCAATTGTTCTGGAAAGAGAAGGTACAGGAATCGTTCGATATTATAGTCTTCATATGTGATTATGACATTTCCATCTTGATGGAAGAATATTAAAGCGCCAGTTGACACATGATGTTAGAGTCATATGTAAAGTGAGATTTTCACATTTTGTAGCATATTTTTAGGCGATCACAAATATTTTTAAATTCAAGAAACGCTATACTTTTCGAACTAAGTTCGATACGTAACTATATAATATACTTATACTATACATATATAAATTTATACTATATAGCATTTCTTTTTAGTTTAGTTTGGTAGCGCCTAAAAGTAAACTATAAAAATACCAAAGAAAAATGTTGATAATTTCACTTTACATATGACACTAACATTATGTGTAATCTGTTCTTAAAGGGAATAAATGCAGAAATTTGTTAGTGATACTAAGTCGACAGTCGATTAATAAACTTTTGGTATAAAAACAGGTAAAAAAGTTGTACGTTCGGACGGGCCGAACTTTGAATACCCTCCACCATGTGGTAAAAATTCGGCAATTTTCACAAAAAAAAAAAATAAAATCGGTTAAAAATTCTGTTAAAATCTTAAAAATACCGAATGTAGCCTTTATCTTAGGGTCTATACGTAGACGTGGACCTGCATAGTCAAATTTGTCATAAGCCATTACAATATTCAAATGCTAATTTCGAAAAAAATTTCGGTGAATAATGTAGTTAAAATCATCAAATACCGAATATAGGGAGGTACCATTAAATAGGGGCTATACCAAAACGTGGACCTGCACGAACAATTTTCTGTCATAGGCTGCAGTATCCATTACGAACTTCAAATAACGAATTTGAAACAATTCCAGTGAAAAGTGTCGTTAAAATCATGAAAATACCGAATATCGGGAGATGCCGTTTTATGGGAACTATGCGAAGACGTTGACCTGCATAGACAATTTTCTATCTTAGGCTTTAGCATTCATTACGAACTTCAAATACCAAATTTTAAACAATTCCGGTGAATAATGTCGCTAAAATGATGAAAATACCGAATATCGGAAGGTACCGTTATATGAGGGATATACCAAAACGTGGACCTGCACGGACAATTTTCTGTCTTAGGCTGCAGTATCCATTACGAACATCAAATACCAAATTTGAAACAATTCCGGTAAATAATGTGGCTAAAATGATCAAAATACTGAATATCGGGAGGTACCATTACATGGGGGATATACCAAAACGTAGACCTACTTGGCCCATTTTCAGTACCAAATATGCTGCAGACATAATATACATTTGAGTAAAATTTTATCAACCTACTTCATTTCGTTCGGAAGCTAGAGTCATTTCCACAGACGGTTAGACGGACGGACATCGCTAAATGTAAAATGTATATTTCGAGGTGTTACAAACGGAATGGCAAACTTAATATTCCCCCAATACTATGGTGGAAGGAATAATAACGAAGTCGACATTTGCCTCTTTCGACTTATGGTTGCTTGAATTTAGGTTCTGTCTACGACTTACGTATGCCTAAAATACATCGAAAAATGCAAATTTTTCAAAAATTTTTAAATGATTTTCATAAAAACAGAAATCTGTTCCTCGTTTCCTAAATTGTTTCTCTCCAGCCTGTCCACTCACCTCTTTTGATTCTCGGGCGTTGTATACGTACTGCTGTACAGACCAACAATTTTACCCAACATTACACCTTCGAATTCAATACCAATGGAAATTGTACCGCCAGCAGTTAACTCCTCACTCAAATTGATTATCAAAAACTCCCGAACTGTATCGAATTCATAGTTGACCACCTCAATGTTGCTGGCCCACACACCGCTGGAGGCTTGAACAAACACGCGAATAATTTCCAATTTATGCGAATGCAAAATAACCTGTTTGGTATTCTCCAGAACATCAATGGTGATGATAACCTTGCCGCTGAAGTTGCCACTCTTAAGATCTGGATTTAAATACAAATCATAGTGGGAGGGTTTCAGGGCCGAGGGTAAGCGATAGTCAATCTATAAAGAAAAGGTTAAAATTGTGTTTGTTTGTAAGTAAAATATTTATTAAAAATTGGTTCAATCTTTAAATAATCAACAAAAATTGGGTAGTAATAATAATGTTTAAAATATATTTTGAAATAATTTTCCCTCGCTGTGCTATTTTTCTTTTTCTAAGAAATAAATTATGTATGTGCAGATGTGCATTTGGGAAAACCCTCAAAATTAACTTATCGCTTATCTACAGTAAATTTCGAATTTAATCAAAATCTAGGGAAATTTATGACCTTCATATTTTTGTAGATTATGTAAATATGTATGTCATAATGTCGATTTAAAAAGTGTTAATCAAAAATTGCGGAATTAAAATTTGAAAATTTTCAAAATCATAATTAAATTATTTGAAAATACATCAAATATTGCACTTCTTAGTGTAGTTCTCGCATAATCCCACTTTTTCCCTCTGCTCTTCCCACCTACCTCATTATCATCATCGGCCAAAGAACGGGCGCTGCGCGGCTTTGCCTCACCCTCCAGCAGTGATTCCATGTAATCCAATTTATCGCGGGCATCCTTGATGTTGGCGTTCAGGCGTGCGTGTTGAAAACCCAAAACAACCGTTGACACCGAAAAGGCCGTAACGGCCCACAACAGTAACCAGCGTACACTCTTATGACGTCCAAGCATTCTTTCACTCTCTCTCACTCTCCGTCCCCGTCGATTATGACAAACAACCGGTGCGATCAACAGACCTTTTAAAACTGAAACGCCTTTTTCGAACACCAAATAATTTTTCGTCGATTACATCTAATCAGAAAAAATAATACTAATCTGATATTTTTTAATCGATTTATTACCGGCCTTTATGGATGAAATCACACTTATTGCGATATGCAATGTCGTATTGATTGGGGGAGAGGGAAGGCGATTAAATAGTTTTGATTGGAATTCTACACTGAAAGAAAAAAAAACCAAAGGCGTTAGAAAGTATCCGTTGAGTTTGGATAGACAAATATGCTCAAAGCATATGACCGGATCGAGAGTACCTCCCTAATTATAGATTTCGAAAAAAATCGATGGAGTTTTTTTAAAATTTATATTTTTTTAATTTTAATGGTTAGGAGAGAGGAACTGATAAAGTCAAGTCTATGTATCCTATTTGACCCTTATATAACCCTGATTGACTGACTTACTTAACGATTCATCAACGCCCAGACAAAACGGCTGAAGCTACAATCTTGAAATTTTTGGGTGAGGTGAGGGTCACTCTTGGTACGAAGGGGTTAGATTAGGCTGGGGTTTTGGCAATTCGTACTAGAACGCTACGAAAAGTATGAAAAAGTACTACATATGACACCCTTTGTAGAGCTAGAAATCTTAAATTTTAAATTAGGGTAACCGATGGAGTGTGTGATAGATGTAATAAAGGGTTTTTGGAAATTCGCACTATATGTGTACGCAGAGTACTAAAATGTACAACATTTGGTACCACTTCGTATTATACGAAAGGTTAGAGTGAAAAACTTGAAATTTTGAATGGGAATCAAGGTTGAGGGAGTAGGATAAGGACGTAGTTTTCGAAGTGTGTACTCATATATTCGAAAAGTACTAAACGGTGCTAAATTTAGTACAATTTGAATTTGGATGAACGGACGGAGCTGGAATAGGGATATTTGAAATTCAAGGTTCAAGGAATCAAGGTTGAGGACTAGGGAGTATCATAAGGACGTAGTTTTGGAAGTGTATACTTATGTATTCGAAAAGTACTAAACGGTACTAAATTTAGTACAATTTGAATTTGGATAAACGGACGGAACTGGAATAAGGATATTTGAAATTATCATTACTGGCGGAGTGTAGGATTGGGTAGTTTGGATATGGAGGTAGTTTTCGAAAAATGTACTTGTGTGCACGAAATGGTACTCAATTTAGTACAATTTCGCTTTGGGTGAACCGATAGAGCTGGAATACTGAAATTTGGAAAAAAAGATTACTATTCCATTGTAGGACTGAGGTAAGTGGGAGGTTTTGGAAATGTGTACTTATGAGTACTAAATGGTACTAAATTTGGGCTGAAATGGTACCGATAGGGCTGAAATACTGACATTTGGAAATAAGAATACTATTGTATTGTAGCATTGGGGTATGTAGAAAGTTTTGAAAATTCGTACTTATATGTACTAAATGCTACTAAATTTGGACAATTTAAATTTTGGGAGAACCGATAGTGTTGGAATCCTGAATTTGGGAAAATGATTCATATTAGTTTGTATAATGTTGATAGTTACGAAAATTTGTACTTGTGTATACTAAATCGTAATAGATTTGGTACAATTTAGATTTGGGTGAATCAATAGAGCTCATATCCTGAAATTTTGAAAAAAGATTGATGGTGGATTGTAGGTTTGGTATATAGAGGTAGTTTTTGAAATTTGTACTTAAACGTACCTAAATACACTAAATTTAGTACAATTTGGATATTGGATGAAACAATAGAGCTCGAAAGGATTCGGATAGGGATGTAGTTTTCGATATGTGTACTTGGTGTACTTCATGTGTACCGATAAGGGTGGAATACTAAAATTTGGAATTGGGCTTACTGTGGGAGTGTAGGATTGTGATATGTAGGAAGATTGGGAAATTCGTACTTATGTGTACTAAATTTAGTTAAATTTAGATTTGGGTGAACCGATAGGCCTGGAATCCTGAAATTGGGTAATGAAATTTCTATGGGATTGTATGATTGAGGTAAGTAGTTTTTCAAATTTGGTACAATTTGAATTTGTGTGAACCGATAGAGCTGGAATTCCGATTTTTTTTATTTTGGTTATGGCTACTTTTGGTGTCTGCGGTTAAGATATGGAGGTGGTTATGAAAATGTGTACTATAATTGTTCGAAAAGTACTAAGTGATACTAAATTGGGTATTGGGTGAAGAAATAGAGCTGAAATCCCGAAATTTAACATTGAGGACTCTCTCTTGGTAACTGGGCTTGAGATATGGAGGTGGTTAGGAACATGTGTACTGTAATTGTACAAAAAGTACTAAATGGTACTAAATTTAGTATTGGGTGAAGGAATAGAGCTGGGATCCCGAAACTTGATATTAAGGTCTTGATATTAAGGAAATTTTAGATATGGATATGGTTTTGCATATGTGTACTGAAATTGTTCAAAATGTACCAAATGGTACTAATTTACACTTAGTATGGAAATAATTAAATGATTTTAGAAATGTTTACTACATGTTACGAAATTTGGTATTGGATGGGTGAAGGAATCGAGAGGCAATTCTGAAATTTTATATTGGGGCACTGTTGGTTTCTAGGGTTTACATATGAATACTTTGAAATAGTTTTAGACAAAAAAATTGATGTGGATCCACTAGTATATGCCAAGTTTCAGGCAACATAAAGGCTCCCCTCACTACAAGAGATAAGCTCTTTTTTGGAAAATTTCTACTTTTGTGTTGGAGTTACCAGAAGGACATGGCAATATATTAAGATGTACCAAGTAGGAACCAAATACTTCCTTCTAGAATTATCGTGCATACCAGCATAGCAAGAAATATAAAATTGGTTCATGTATTCCAGAGAACAGCAACGCACATTACGCAACATATTTTTATACCCTCCACCATACTATGGAGGGTACATTAATTTTGTCATTCTGTTTGTAACTCTTTGAAATACTCATGTCAGACCCAACAAAGTATATATATTCTTGATCAGCGTAAAATTCTAAGACGATTTAGACATGTCTGTCTGTCTGTCTGTCCGTCTGTCCGTCTGTCCGTCTGTCTGTCTGTCCGTCTGTCTGTCTGTCTGTCTGTCCGTCTGTCTGTCCGTCTGTCTGTTGTAATCACGCTATCTTTCGAACAAATTGAGATAGAAGGCCAAAATTTTGCACACATGTATATTTTGCCAGTAGGCAGGTTAAGTTCGTAAATGGGCCATGTAGGTCCAAGCCCCATACAACGGTACCTCCCGATATTCGGTATTTTGATGATTTTAGCGACATTATTTAAAGAAATCGTTCCAAAATTTGGTATTGGAAGTTCGTAATGGATACTACAGCCTAAGACAGAAAATAATCTGTGTAGGTCCACGCCTTCGTATAGCCCATATAACCCATATAACGGAACCCCCGATATTCGGTATTTTGATGATTTTAGCGACATTATTTAACGGAATCATTCCAAATTTCGTATTTGAAGTTCGTAATAGATACTGCAGCATAAAATAGTAAATGGGCCATGTAGGTCAACGTCTTCGTATAGCCCCCATATACCATACCCCCCGATATTCAGTATTTTGATGATTTTAGCGACATTATTTACCGGGATTGTTTCAAATTTCGCATGTGAAGTTCGTAATGGATACTTCAGCCCATGCCAGAAAATTGTCTGCGCAGGTCCACGTCTTCGTATAGCCCCCATATAACGGTCCCCCCTATATTCGGTATTTTGATGATTTTAGCTACATTATAAACAGATTTTTCTTCAAGTTTCGCATTTAAATATTGTAATAACTTATGACAAAAGTTGCCTATGCAGGTCCACATCGTCGTATAGGCATTCGGTATTTTTGTAAGATTTTAACAGAATTTTTAACGGATTTTATTTTAATTTTTTTTTTTTTTTTTTTTTTTTGGAAATTGCCAAATTTGTACCAAATGGTGGAGGGTATTAAAAGTTCGGCCCGGCCGAACTTACAGCTTTTTTACTTGTTTCTCCTCCACTTTATATCCAATTTAGTACCATTTTCCTTTTGTTACGTTTTTAGAACGTACTTCCAAAACAACCTCTTAATCTTAAACCCCGCTGCACAAAATGCGACCCTAATGCAAATATTCGTATTTCCAACACTATTCTTACCTCAAATACCAAATTTGGTACCATTTTGTATTTTTTTGCACATTTTAGTACGTATTTTCAAAAGTACTTCCAAATCTCAACTCTACGCACATACACCGACTGTAACACCAACATTTCAGATATCAAGCTTACTACAGATTTTTAGTTCTTCAATGCCAAATTTAGTACCATTTAGTACTTTTCGTATGCATGTAATACTCACTTCCAAAGTTACTTTTTTTCAAACCCTAGTCATCATAAGCGTAGTACACATACCTAAACCTTATATTAACCCACATCCCAAACCTAATTATTTTACCAAATTTCACGATTTTACCACTATCCATTACCACAATACCAAATGGTACGAAATTTAGTACATTTTAGTAATTTTGGCACACGTTAGAATTTCGAAAAATTCTTCAGTAGTTTGTCTATCCTATACAAGGTCAGAGACTCTAATTCCAAATTTCTCGAATACTCTATCCGTATGTCCAATAAAATGAATTCTATTTGCCGTAACTTTTAGTACTTATAGTACACTTACAGTTCTAATTTACAAAAACCCTGTCTCACCCCTACACACCAACATTGATCCCACATGTAAATCTAGCTTAGACCGTTTCTTCTGGGCGGATGATGAATCAGTAAGTCACTCAATCACTGAAATATTTTCGAAAATCCTGTTTCGAAATGTAATGTATTAGTAAAATAGCTGTAACTCATGAACCAATACAGAGACCGTATGCAAACCTTCGTATTGACGTCACCTTTCATATGAACAGCTTTATGCTTTAACAAAACTTAAATCAAGACTCCGGTATTTCTTCTTTCAAATATCAGTACCATATAGTC